GGCAGCAGCTGGCAGAGAGTCGTCAGATATGATCACATGCTCATCCACAACGGGGAAAGAGGAGATGAAAGAGGTGAGGAGGAGGAGCTGTTTCAAACTGGAATCAGGAAAATGTGGGAAAAGCTGATCCAGAGTCAGTACAGGACGAAGGACAGAGGAACGGAAGGACAGAGGGACAGGGGACGAAGGACAGAGGGACGGAAGGACAGGGGGATGGAAGGACAGGGGAACGAAGGACAGGGGGACGGAGGACAGAGGAAGTAAAAACACGGTGTAAAACCAGTTCACTGGCCTGTGGATTAGTGGATCATGGATTAAGGCGGATGATAGCTGGTTTAGAACCTGGTCTGTTCTGGTCTGGTCTGTTGTTTCTTCTACTCCTAATACTGAGGTTAAGATAACTATGACTAGTTACCAAGTTAAATATGTTCACGTTAACCCAGCTGTGAGGATGGAGATTAGATTAGATTTAATTGGATTGGATGAGATGAGATTGGGTTATATGGGATTGTTGAGATTAGATCAGATTAGATCAGATCAGATCAGATTAGATTAGATTAGATTAGATTAGATTAGATTAGATTAGATTAGATTAGATTAGATTAGATTAGATTAGATTAGATTAGATTAGATTAGATTAGATTAGATTAGATTAGATTAGATTAGATTAGATCAGATTAGATTAGACTGATGGGATCTGTTCATCAACAAACAGGAAACAGTTCCCACAGAGAACATTGTTGTTGTTATTTTTTAAAGTTTCTATATTTTGTGTTTAATACATCATTAATATTTATTATTCATTCACTGTTAAACCAGGTCTAATCTGGGATTTAATCTGCAGATCCTTTGATGTTTCTGTTTTTATTCCTGAGTCACAGCAGCAGCAGGTCATGGGTGAAGGGTAAACACGGGGGCATCTGTTGATGAAGTGCTGAGGCGTGGGGAAATAAATTACCTCTGAGTGACATTTAAGAATTAATTTGGTCGACCTGTGGAGCACGCGTGATGTCATCACCGTGTCACACGTCAGCTGTTCTGAAGTGCACAGTAATGAAACACATGAATACTTGAGGGATAAAGAATAATTAACTTAAAAAAACAACAACAATCCCAGCCGTAAACAGTTAAAGGACAGGTGGCAATAAAAAAAACAATTAGCAGTAAGGATGCTAATGCTAACTAGTAAAATAAAAATCAAAGAGCTTCAAAACAACGTGACAGCTCAATAGTTTCAGCTAACGAGCCGCTAACCTTTAACCAACGTTTATGTTTCCGTCACCGACTTTAAACAGTGACTGTGCAGCAGAACGGTTGTTGGTTCTGGATGAGTCCACTCTCCATCTCACCCCGATGTTTCCTGCACTGATGGTTTCACAACCAAAACAACATCAAACCTCTGCATTTATCACGTACCGGTCTGGGCCATCAGAGGGAACCAGAACCAAGTCGTCATGTGACCGGGCCCCGTGGAGTCTTTTGGTCATTTCCTCCACTCCTAACTTGACCTCATTTCCAGTCGTGCTGCTGCGTCTCCATCATTTGCCCGTGGCAGTAACATTACCCCAAATGCCAGCTGTCACAGTCGTACACACCTGTGTATAAATATATACACGACGGAGTGAACGGAGCTGTGTGATCTGGATTCATTTACCCAGAGGAGCTGCGCTGCTACTGCATCTGTTTCTGCTGCGTCGCAGAGGAAATCGTGTTTTTGTTGTTTCCTCTGTTGAAACGGTTCAACGAGTGAGATGTTTGCTGTGTTGACGTGGTCGTCGTCTTCGGCTGCTCTCATTGCTGGTGCTCACGTTGGTCTCCTGCACCTCCAGGTGTGACCTTTGACCCTTGGTCTTTGACAGGACACCTCAGCATTGTTTGGTTTTTCCAGTATATTGAGTTGAGCACTGTCACCTCCATCTCCCTCGAGCCACATCATTGTGTTAGTGTTTATGACCTAAACTCCTGGCCTACATTTGGACAGAGAACACACAGGGTTTGGATGTCAAGGACAGTAAATCCTAAATCGTAAAAATACTCTTTTTTCCCACAAAGAGTCGTTCATTGTGCTTTGTTTCCCAAACTGGACTCAAATACATAGTTGACATTCTAAAAAAAAATACTCCCCCCAGCCCCCCCGTGCTGCCCTTTGTTGTTGCACTGAGTCAGATGATCAGCTTCATCAGTGGATGACAGATGAATAAGGCACTAAGACTTGGCGTCGTTTTACTCAACTCATCAGAGTTTAACCTGGAGGTAGAGAGTTCTAACTGGCTGGAGGTACTGAACATGAGGATTCATCAACAGGTTCTGAACAAATGAAAAAAAAAAAAGATTGAAAATAGAAAAAATAGAAATAGATTTCTGTTGGATGTGTTTGGCACCAGGTCACGACCTGCTTCACTGCCTCATCGGGACAGACATCAAACGTTTTACTTAATACATTTTTATGCCATTGAATACAATGATTATTTTCTGGCCAAACTCGTGCATAAACATTAATATTTTCTTTTGGTTTGCTCAGAGTTAACACGTGGCAGATATTGTTCCCACAGTGAAACTTCTGTTCTCTTTATCTTCGGACCTACAGTATCTGTTTGTAAGCAGTAGGTCAAATGACTGACAGCAGGTAGGGTGAGAATCAGTATTCGACCCCCTCCTCCTCCTCTTCCTGCTCCTTCTCCTCCATCTTAGCGTTAGCATAAATCGACGTCGCTGCCGCCTGCATACAGAGAGAGATCGCCCCGGGATAAAGAAGTCGGCTCATAAACTCCACACGAGGCAGCGACGCCTCCCTGTGAGTCTGAGGAACAAACAGTTTGTTCCGTCAGCGCCCGTGGGAGAAGCTCCGTTCACAACACTTCCTCTGTCCAAATACATCATTCAGA